AAAGTAATGCAATCCATTCTCCCTCAAGAAAAATTTGCACAATCCACGTGAGGAAGAGCAAACAAAGAAAAGGTCAAAAAGAAGAAAGAGAGAAAGATTTAAAATTTGGAAAGGAAGAGAGTGGCGTGACCACTTTTGATAATTCTATGATTTTGATTTGTGATTATTACCCACCACCTCCACCTGCTGTGGGTCATATATGTTTAGGGTTCTTTAATGCAAGGCGATCTACATGTGGATCCGACCACATATTATTACATTTGCTATGATATCATTTGATTTGATCTTCCACTACCATTTACAAGATATTATAACATGAGTATACAATTATAATGATATTTTGTGTTAATAAAATAAAAATATGCGTAAATTTTTTGTTTGCATGTCTTTATTTTATTAACACAAAATAACACATAACAAAATTAATGTCATGCCATATAAATTATTCTCAATACAACCACCACCATTCCTTTAACATGTGTTGAATGTAGATGCAAACAAAAACTTATTTGGTTCAAGTCAAAGTCATCGAACCATGCGTGACAATGATATGTGTTTTGTTATATATAGACACACACATAGAATCGTTTGGGGCTAGAATTCTGGCTTGGGCCGAGGTGATAGAAAGCTCAGAAATGAGGCTGTGAATTTCATCCTGGTATTGAATTGCTGGTGGAGTGGATTGTTCGAGGATCAAGATTGGTTTCTAATAGATTTGAATTAAGTGCTTCAAGGTCAAGATTGGCTTTCGGATGAAGTTTGAACTAATCGCATAATAAGTCTAGATTCAAAATCATAGTGCGAGTTGCATAATAAGGGGGTAGGAGCTATAGAACCAGTTTGCCTTAGTAGTCTCAACGACTAGATAGATGGAGATTCTCTCTAAGTCTGCGGCTAACTATTTATTTTAAGTCTCAACCGGCAAAGAATCTTTAATTCTTTCGCTGAAAGAGATCACTTCATTAGTCTTCTCGGCAAAATGAGGTGTTTTATTATTTGTCACTCTCATGTCATATTCGGAGTTTGGCATGCAGACAACAGAACCACCTTTACAATTAAGACACTCATCTCCTTGAGTATCTTTGTTCATACAGCTTGATATGATTCGGCAAACGTATATTATTATCAATATAGTTGAGTTTGCCAAACCTAATACACAAAATTCAGAACTTCACATTGATTTGCATAACCTTGTCTTCACGTTTTAGAACTCAAGACTGAGACTATCCTTCATCAGTCGAAGGTGCTCGACACAGAAGTAAGTAGCGTATCCTATCACATCACCACATTAATTATTTGTCCAGTCGAGCTCGAGGGCAAATTGGCACGCCCGCATCAGCATTCAAGCCATTGATGATGTATAGCTCTTAGTTACTATGTGCCACATAAACTTTATAATTTTCAATGCCAACGATAATATAATATAATATAATATATGAATGCATGTATGTAATAAAATGCATGGAGAGTAGGATCCTAAAGTTAAGGATGGTGGTCGATTTTATGAATGAATTCTAAGGTTTGAATATGCATGATTTACGTGAAGTCAAATTTTGTTTCCTTCTCAATATATATAGAACTCAACTCTTATATTGTATCAAATGACGACCTGTGTAGCTTTTAACCTAAGTTAGGTTTCACAATCGCCGAATGATAGGATCATTTTCGTTTGACACCTAATATAAAAATATATGGACGAAAGCTAAACATAGGATAAAGTTTAGAGACCTTTTGCCACCATGCACCCTTTCACAAACTACCTTTTTCATAGAGATATATAGGCCATATATTAAGGATGATGGAAATTATTGAGGATTGAAGGCGTGCATTGTATTGTGGTAGTGGTGGTCTTAAGGAAAGTGAGTCCCCATCATTAGAGTACACTTGCACGCCAAGTGTTCCAAAGTAATTACCAATTAGTGATGAGACACAAACAAAGTAATTAACAAACCCTAATTAAAGGCATCCAATGCTACAGTTTACGTGCTCCAACTATACATGGGTTTACTATATATTCAATAGCGTAGTTAGGATAGAGTCAATGGATGCAAGTGACCACAATAAGCTTTTATTTTCCCACACGAATAATAGTCCTGAACCCATAACCAATCCAAACCCAGCAACTTAAAATCCCTTACTGATCAACCAAGCATAGCCTTTATACGAAGATTTCTTGACCGCTGGTTCATGCCCAAGGGAAAACTAGCTAGAAAGCCAGAGGGAAAAGGTCTCACACACAAACTGATTAAGGAGAGCATTTTTGCTCACCACTATTTAGTGTGGTGTATGCTCACCATCCTATTTATCATTGTTAGATCAGTTTGAATTTCGAGATTTGTGTAATCGATAGGCACAAATCTCAAAATTCAAAATCATCTAACGGTGATAATAGGGGTGACAGTAAAAATGCACTCCTGATTAAATGGAATAAATATCTTCACTTTTAATATTTTCGGTTGAACTTAGAGCTTATTATTATGCCTCCATTGTCAATTAGTCATGGCTCTGCCACTGACTATATTCATATATAGTAGTTACAAATTATAGTTACACACAATTGAGATGTGACACTGTATCCTCTAAATTATTGATTTTGTTTGGTCATATATGTAACATAATTCAAATGTCACATAGTCATACGTACAAGATCATGAAAGGTATGGTTCGTAAGCTCTATCTATTTTTGTATGCTCCTTTCTCTCAATTTTGAGGACCACGTATTCGATCTAATTGTCTAATTTTGGTGGATACGATTTCAAATGGAGTTAAGTTTTGACAGAGAAATCATACCCCAAAAAAAAAAATCTCAAGTTTTGGATGTTTTATAGATCTTAAGCTCAATTTTTCAGATTTTTAGAACTTTGACAACTTCATAAAGATAAGATCACTAATGAAAAAACTACAATTTTGGAAAGGCTTCACAAAGGACCTACAATGCAAAGAACCCATCCTCGTTGTTTGATGGCCTCTAGTTTTTAAGGGCCCATTAATAGTCCTTTGATGGGCTTCACGAGAACTTTTATCCACCCTCTTACATGTTTTCATACTTACAGATTTTAGTACATCGATCTGTTAAGCCCTAGCTATGATGAACGACTAGATGTACCAGTTGATCTACGAGTTTTATTATAAAAATTAGTAATATGAGGAGTAGTTTAATTTTCTATAAGTCAGTGAAGGTTTGGTCCCTTTTGATGTGAGATTTATCTTTCACATTCTCATCTTATGTACTTCGGCAATAATCTACACAACAACATTTGTGGTAAGTGATCTTCACAATCTTTTTTTCTTCCTCTAACTCCTCTATCTTTTCATTGCGTTAGGATTGTGTTGACCCTAGAAATTACAAAGCTTACGTGGCATGCAGGCCAAGTAACTATGAGTTAACTATGTCCTTCTAGTGAATGCGGGCGTGCTAACTCACGAACGAGTTTGGTCAGGCGCGTAGAATAGAAGTAGTGGTGGTGGTGTCAAATAAGCTGCTGACTTCTATACTTAAGTGATTACGGCTGATAAAGGAACATGTCTTGGCATTGGGTTATAGAACCTGAAGACAAGGTTGCCTAGACCACTGCGAAGTTCAGTATCTCTTGCACCATGTCCCGCTAACTCGACTATATCACGAGAATAGGTGCGGCGAATTAGTATCAGACTGTAGGGACACATGTACTTAAAGGAGATGAGCGTTTTTATAGTGCACATGGTTCAACCATCTGATGTCGAACTGCAAAATGCACCTAAGAGTAATCAATTATAAAACACTCCACTTCGCTAGGAAGTTAATGAAGTGACCTCTTTCGGTGAGTAAGTTAAAAGCTCTTCAACGGTTGAGACTTGGGTAGATAACTAAACAACTAGAAGCAGTGTTATTAGTCCAAACTGAAAATGCTCATTGATCGCTTGATTCTACAGCTCCATTGATGTTAGTCCAAACTAAAGATGTCATTGGTTATCAACACAGTGTTGCAATGTTGTTAGTCTAAACTGAAGATGTGTTGACGGGAAGGTTAGGATAGTTATTTCTTTTCTTTTCAAAAGTGTGAAAAGGGTTTTGCGTAGACCGTTTGAGTTGTTTGTTAAGTTGAGGGACTTTCAATGTTGCAGAGCCTCTTCTATGCATAGAGCAGGCTTCCATGATAAAAAGACTGAGGAGGTAAAGTCGTAATTGGACTGTGCATGCTCAACATTTGCTTGAATAGTCCCTTATCCCCTTTCAGCTGAAATTTCATTTTCATCCAGTCTTGGGCTCTTTGATTCTCACCAGGACTCTGAACCTAGTCCCATTACGAGACTCATTCATCTTTATCGGATTATATAGGCATTCTGATCGCCAAGATAACTCCTATTTACCAAGGCTTATTGTAATCCTTAGCAATTTCAATTTGTATAGGAATTGATCGTGCCACCCACATTTAACCTTTTCACAATCCTTACTTCATAAAGACTCGGTCAAACTGATCCAATCTATAGGGTAAAAGCCCATTGGCCGAAGGATGCATATTGGGTCAAGGTTTATGGTTCTTGGGTCGACCCTTTTATCCCCAAATTGTTATTTCAGGTCCAAACATTGCCTCTTCACTCAACCATGGACATTTGCTGTAAAGGTTTTTAAGAAATGAAGATTCTTTAAATTGGCCAATATCTTTCATTAAATGCCTCGATGCCAACTTTACCTCAACTTATTTACATCTCCATTCTTTCTGTCACGCATCTAATAATATTCTTTTTCACTTGCAAGTGCAAGATCCTAAATCTATTTCTCACCAAGAGTAAATTCGAATTAAGTTGATATTAATAGTTTATTATGAGACTTATCACGATTTTCTTACCGCACTATAGATAATATCGTAAGTATATAAAAATTTACTCACTAGCTCGTTAATAATTTCTTAAAAGTTAAGCCCATATTGCACGTCAAGTATAGTCGGGCCGTTGACCACTAGTCCAGTTCGCAGCAATTTGTTACGATAAGCCAGAAAGCAGCAGATTACGAACTATAAAAAATAAAAATTCAGTTGTTCATCATCTTTGTGTTTCACTACCATGCGCTCTGTCATCGCCAATGGATTTATCTTCGTGGTTCCGACGCAAACTCTTGAAGAATAGCGAGGAGAACAAAAACCCAGATCCCTCAGAGCAAACCCTCCTTCCCCAACAAAACGAAAAGGAAGAAGAGCAGCTGGGAGTCACAGAGCAATTGGTCGATCTTGTCAAGTCCTTCACTTTGGACACTTTCAGGAATTTCCCACTTCCAGGTATATAAAAGATAACACCTTTCTGAATTAATTTTAATTTTTATTGTTTCTTTGGTGTTTTAGACGGTAATTATTGAGCTTGATAATTGGTTTTTTCTTAGGTTAATTTGATTTTTAGGTAATAATGAAAATTTATAAGCTGGGTTTTCTTTGTCGGGATAAGGACTGTAATGGGTTCTTTCTTTTCTTGTTAATGGAGTGAAATTTGCATTGATTCGATGGCGGTGCAGATGGTGAGGGAGCTGAAGAAGATGAAGATCTGTCTGGATGGCAGGAAAGGCATGCCACCATTGTGCTTTCAAGAGTTAAGGTTTGAGTTCTAGCTCATTGTTTATGTTTAGTATCTTTTGTAATTTGATGTCAAATTCACAATTCTAAAGTTGGTTTAGTGAAGCATGTAACTTTATATCAACAATTGTAGAATGCTGCTCCTTGGCCTTTAGGATGTTCTCTAGCAATTTGCAATTGCTTTTTTTTAATGGTTGGTGCCTTTAGTTGTGTTGAATTTGTAGGACAAATAAGAAATGGTATTAGTCCAAGTAGCTCAGGAAGTTCGATCGCATGAGATGTTCCAGATACCTTATCTAGATTTCTTGTTAGTTACTTAACTTGGACCTGGACTGCATTGTACAACCCTTTAAGAGTATATTTATGAATTGGATCTTTCGTATTTTCAGGAGCTTTCACATCTGAGATATAAGCTATGCCCCCGCTACCTGAAGGAACATGAATTTTGGAGAGTGTACTTTATGCTTGTCAAGAAACAAGTGGCGGCGTAAGTATTTTACAAGTTTCAGATTTTCAATCAGTTTGCACCAATGTTATCTGATGAGATCATGGTTCAATTCTGGAATGATTGATTAGTTGTTGATGGGATTTAGGAGTATTCGTCTAGGTGGTTTAAGTTGAATATTTTGAGCCAATTATGTTGTTAGTGTTTGGAACATGATTGCTCCTGATGGAGCTCTAGACTTGTATTCTCTTCCTATCGTAGGGTCAGTGAAGGCTGGTTTTGAAAAACAAATCAAACAAAAACGATCCAATCATCTCAATAAACTTGAATACTCAACTTTCATTTGGATTTGATTTGGTCAAACAAATAGGCTTGGACTGCACAGAAGTCCGTGTACCTCTGTTTGAATCTTATATCTAACAAGCATATGAAGTTGAAGGAACAAAATGTGCTCTGTTGTGAATCAGATAGCACCGAGTTCTTGATTTAGTCTGGCGTTATAAGGCTTATAAGTTTATAGTAGATGTCGACAATGTTGAAATGCTGTTGTCACTGCTTGCACACTCGCACCTGAAGCTTATTTCGATCCCTGAAAGTTGCTGACAACAGGATGATGCTTAGCTAAATAGTCATGTTAAAATCAGAATTGTTAAATGTGACCATCACTGTACTTTTTCAAATTTACAGATTCTAGCTATAAACAGAGGTGCATAAAATGATATGAGTCCAAGTGGCGATCACTATACTTTGTCAAGACATGTGCGTCGTTACGCTTTTGAACTATGCGATGTTTTGCTTGCCGAGAACATGTTCAGTATCTGCGTATGCATACACACTCATTAAACGTGATTTCTTGATTTGATTATCAGATACGAGCTGCGTGCCATACAGCAAGAGAGGATCAAAGAAATGGCAGTGGAGAACTGAGAAGTCTACAAATACCAGTGCATGTGAAGTTGAAATGTCAGAGGCAAAGCAGGGAGCAAAATTAGCGCCTCCAACGCCATAGCATCACATAAATTGCAGTATGCATTTCTTTTTAGCAGTAGGGATGTATTGGGTAGTAGGACTGTTCCGCTGGACAAAAACGTACGTATATGGTTAGAACATGGAAACTTATCCATTCCATTCAGTCCTTGTGCTGATGAACCACTGACTTGTTAACGCTAATTTCTGTACTGTCTTTATTTAAGCTTCTGTTGGTCGACTTTGTCGTAGATTGAGGGGGCGTTGTGAAGATCTGGACCCTGTGATCTAGCATCGGGACTGGAGCAGGGGATTGGAGTGGGAACCCAGGTCTCCATGACCTGAACCCGAGCCAAGGCGTGCAGGCTCCCAATCAGTAATCATATTTAGTCAAACAAGTAGACAAATCTCGTCACCTTACGATCCAAACTCCATCAATCTGATATTTTTTCGGAATTTCACTTGATTCATGGAAATTTAGACTGCTTTGCTAACAACTCACTGTAACACTATCGACGAACTACTCAAGCACTACAAAGATACTACCAAACGCTACAGAGGAACTAAACAAAAAATGAAACATTTCAATCATCTATCTATTATATTTTTTTGGTCGATTTCATCTATCTAGTTGTTGTAGTGCATTCTAAGTTCAATAAAACTTTAAAGTCACTCGTCTAGACGTACCAATATGTAGTTTTATGGAAATTGGATTTGGTTTTGTGACGTGCTATGCAAAATGGGCCGCAATTTTCGGTTATGGAGCTTATGTTGGTCGGATTTGGATTGCACTGGCCTAGAACTCATCTGCATACAAGAAAAAAGCAAAAACCAAAGAACAAGATACGTTGTAATTTATTCTTGTAAATGGTACCATTCGAAACTCAAGACATTGATTCGGTTTTATTGGAAATTATCAAACAACGGAAATATCGCAATCGCTCACATGAAACATTAATGAAGAATCGATGACAAGTACAAGGGCAATACTAATTACTAGTGGAATATCATAGTTTTTCCTCTTTGGTGTCAAACTTGAAGTCGAAGGTATTAACGAGAGTGTAAATTCCATCGTCGATGTTGCTGTTAACTATTTCCCCGGTAGTAAGAGTGTCGTTCTGGCTGTAAGAGAAAGGAATATTGCATGAAGCCTCCGACGCTAGTAGCCTTACCTTCACACCCTGGTCATTGGCAGCACAGTAGTCTTATACACAGCCTCCTTTCACTACTTGTGATAGTCTCAATTTCTCCCATACGGACTGATTCTGTAGACCCAATCTTGATCTTTCTGTTGTCTGCGATTACTGGAACACTGGCACGCGTGCTGCTCCCTACACTACTCAGCCTCAGAAGTAAGGAAACACTGGCGTACTTCTAAGTAGTGCTCCTAGTTTGTATACAAGACCTTTACCTCTACCGGAAAAGTTTCTTTGTTATGATTAACAACCTCACCAAAGCCGATTTGGACAACATTTTGGTTGTACATTCTCAGGCCTTGAGGGTGATAAGTAACATCACTGATGATACTCCTTCAAACGACAATCTCTTCCACCTCCATGCATGCTTCGTCGTCTATAGGTTGGATGTTGGCACGAAGGCAGCTTGTAATTTCGTCGGTGGTATATAATTCTTTTGCAGAACTTCTTGTTTCTGAGGTTGCGGAGAGCAAAGAGAGGAGCTAAGAAATTGGATTAAACAATAAAGTGTAAACACAGAACTGTTTCCCGTCGTTTTTCTGGAAAAATACAGAAGATCAATGTACAAATTCAAGCTAGAAATAGAGGTGCATACTAGTCCATCACTATATTTTTCACGGCAAGTTTACTATCTGCATACGCGCGTACACACTCATTAACTAGGATTTCTTGATTTAATTTATCTAGGGGTGATTTTCGAGCGGGTCGTATCAGAAACAAGGTTTCCAGCTTCCATTTCAAATGTCAGTGAACGTAACGTTGACGTGTCAGGGTCGAAACTCGGAGCAAACTTAGGGTCTCCAATGCCATAACATGACTTGAGTTGCATTCTGCATTTCTTTTTAGCAGTAGGATTATTGGTTGGTCCCGCAAAAACGTACGTACTGGTAATAGCATGCAATTACGTTCAATAGTTGTGCTGATGAACTCGGGATTTGTTAGGGTTAATTTCTGTGTGCATTTTATGTACGATTACTGTCTTTTAGATGAGTTTCCATAAGATGGCTTGATATTCGGATCGTCCCATACTTCTCTTTTTCGCAAAAAACTGCTCGAGTTCTCTTTGCCAAGTCCAGTATGAGAAAAACTTGAGTGTGACCGAGATATGTCCCATCTCTTTATTTCCGGTTACATGTAAGAATCGACTCCGGTCGAGAACCCATGTTATGGTATGGGTAATGGGGCTAAACTTTGGGTGACTTGGGTTATCAATATGCATTGGGTTGGATGATAACTACTTAAACCATCATGAAGGTATTTAGGCTAAATTATTCAATGAATACCAAACTCGTTATCCAAGTGAATTGAACTTGAGACCTCGCTTATAAATAGAGATGCATACCAACAGGCACTAGACTAGTGTTAGTTTCTTTGGAAAATGATCCAGAAATGATCCTGGATCCTTTTTTTGGGGATCCCGTGATTGTGATCGTTCAACGTACATTGTGCGGTCAGTTTTCGTTAGGTAGTATTTATATTTAATTTTAAATTTTAAATTTAAATGATTTCTAACCGCACGATGTACGATAAACAGTCACGATCATGGGATCCCCAGGAAAAGGATTTGGCGAGAATCCTTTTCCAGTTTCTTTTGATACAATAATATTGAGGTTGAGAGATTGGGCTAAACCACACGATGGCTTAGCAATAATTTAATTCCAGACTTGTTATTCATGTAAATCAAACTTATGACCTCTCACTTAAAAGCTGAGATGAATAATATAGAGGCAGATTCTCTGCCCTCCCACTTCTAGTGCCCTCCTATTTGTGTGGTCACGGTTAAGCCACGTCAACATTTTATATTACTATTCATTTTTGTCTTATTATCTCTATAAAAAAAACAATATAAAATGTTGACGTGGCTTAACCGTGACCACACAAAATAAAAAGGCACGGAAGGGCACGAGAAGTGGGAAGGCAAAGAATCTGCCTCCGAATAATATAGACCGTAGTGATGTAGTGCTACAGTAGCTTAGCTCAAGAAGTTGCACCACTTGGGCACCGTTGCAGTTGGATCGCCAGTTTTTACTGTTGTGTTAAAATAAAAACAAAAAACTTTTACAGAAGGAATATGAAAGATGAGAGAAGTGGACAGCAGCAAATCTAAGTTAAAACATCATTGTGTGATGGCAGTGATGCAGTCACTGCACAGAACGTACCATGTGAACTGAAACCAAAAACCACTCAAATCCCCCACAACGGTCTACGCATACGCTCATGCCTTCATTCACGCTCGCAACTCAGTAAAAGTAAATGCCCACTTGACACTTGAATCACCTACTTCCATAGCTTTGCCTTGCAACCACAAAACTTTTAAGAGGAGAGAAGACAAAATGGTTGCGGATCACAGTTCAAAATTGATCCTTTGAACTATAACCCAGTTAAAATTGATTCTCTGAATTATTACTCTAGTTGAAACTGATCATTTGAACTATTTTTTGGTAAATTAACTTCCTAAACTAATTGAAATTAGTCACTTAACCCCTCACCGTTAGCTTCAATTAAATTGCAGCAACTCTATCGTCAAATATTAGCACGTGTGCAACACGTAATTCACTCTTGAGGGTAAAGTCGTGCCACTATTTGACATACGGTAAAGTGGATGAAACTTCATCGAATATGCCAATGAGAGGTTTATTGGTTGAGTTCAAATAGTTCAGAAAATTAATTTACCAAACATCAATTTTAACTTAAGTAATAGTTCAAGGGTAAAACGACAGTTTATATGATAAAAAAAGCCATGGAAGAGGCCCGGAGCTCTTAAGTTTTTCTAATACTACTCAAGTACATTCGTATAAACAGCAATACAAAAAGGTCAAGTTTGTGTCAAGATGTAACTTGTCTGTGAGGTAAATCTCCTCCCATGTCCGCCATTATTTTCTGAATCGATTGGGCAGATGGACCAGTTTTTGCACTCAAAACTTCCAAACCCTAATTCAACAAGTTGAACACAGAAACTAATGGAAACAATTTCACATGCCAGTCTAGTCCAACCAACCAGTCCAAATGAGTCCAATCGGGTCCATGGACAAAGATAACTCCAAACCCTAACCAATATCCATCATAAAATCTAACTCCTTGCAACAAGTCAAAACAAGCAATGCAGAAGAGTCTTACCTGTAACAAGAAAACAACCAAAATCTGAAGGCGGCAATCTTACATGAGATTTCCTACATGGAAACATCATCATCAACATCAAAGACCCACAACACCGAAAGGGTTTTTAGGGTTTGTCATCCATTTAATTAGTCATCGTCAACAGATGAAACGACACGAGAGAGATGGGAAAAGGAAATTGAGTTACGTTTATTAACCTCCAAAGAGCACATGCACCCTTTGAGTCGTTCCTACCCTAAATATTGACAGCAGTTCATTTCAGACAAGACAAAGTGAAAATCTAGTAAATTAGATATGTCACAGAACCAGGCACTCTTTCCCGATATCTTCTCAAAGGAGCCCCTTCATTCTTTTGTCAAAGAATTTGGTTTTATACGCTATCGACTACTTCATAGCTCTGTTATTATTCGTCGAATGACGGTCATACTCATATAAGTTCCCTTGGCATGGGCTTAAAAGGTTGATTTCGGATGCTGCACCCGCTAATTCCCGGCACGTCCTTCTAATGGATAACAACTGAGATACTCTGGTATCAGAACCTGAAATATATAGGCAGGCCCCGCTTAGGGAATCACTTGCTCCCATTCATACCTTCCGGGAAGGGGTAAATCGTTGATGATGTCAAAGTTGTACCTGCGAAAACCCAACCACCAAATATGAGGATTTCACGGTATTTGGGGGTCCATGTAGATTGCTAATCTATTTCAGTTAACATGAATCACAATCAGTTAAAGTTGGTTTTGCAATTTAACTAGCATACTTCTCAATGAAGATTTTCTGTTGCTCCTCCTCATGTCGGGCAAAGAACTCCTCCATCTCAAGCGTGGTTGGGATATTTCTTTGCACATCGTTTCTAACTCTCTGGTGAGTTGAAATAGAACTCGTCCGCCTTGTGGTGGAACCGGGGGTTCCTATTGTGTCCGACTCCCTTATGAAGCTGCACGGCGTGGTTTCTCTAGTGCTCCTGTATTAGACATGGAAAAAACAATATCAACCCTGCAATCTTACATCTGAACATCACTTACAAAAATCTAAAAGAACATACAAATTGTACACGATTCAAGGGAAATCTTAATCTACAAAAATATTATTACCCGGGACCACCTTCATCCCACAAAAAGGGACCAAAATGTGTTTTCTTTTGGTGTCCATGTGATATTAATAACAAAGAAATGAAATAAAAGTGTACTAAATAAAACAAATTACATTTTGGCAGTGTATGCAAGCCATTAAAGGCACGAGATCTGGAAGTTTTTGTCACCTATACAAGTAACCCCAAAAAAGAGGTGTCCAACTTAAATGTTTGAGAGGCAAATAGGCCCCATGAAAACGATATGTTAATGCTCTAACACAAATGAAACCCAAGAGCGATTGCTGTCGGTACTGCAAAAGATTGTTTAATTTTCCCTCACCTCATCATCATATGGACACCCCCAGCGTTTGAGATCAATGCTATTTTGCAAATCAAAAGAGAGAAAATAGACGCATCCAAAGAATAACAATAATAGTTTGTCCCTTGTGTCGTCGCCTCAGTCCTAATGAGTACTAACAGATGCAGACTAAATTGCCAAAACATGATTTTGAAACTAGCTCTACAAAGATAATGCACAATTATATATAATCTATATGATATCTGCTCAAGTATATCTTCTTATTCTTTCACTGTCTAGTTAAGTTAAAAGCAATAAATCGGCTTTACAAAGAAGCTGATGAAATTTTAGGAACCCTGAAAAGCAGATGACTTTGACAGTGTGGCCCAAAAGCCAAAGCTAAAAACTTTATATTTGAAAGAAAAGTTTGAAAAAAAATTCAAATAAAACCCATTTCTTGCGAGGGAAGAGGTGGAGGGAAATGGCCATTTTTCAAGTCTGAAAAAGCTTAAAATATTGCCTTTCCTATATTATTAAAAGCCAACAATTATTAATCAAGAAAATTATATTTCATATCAACATTAGGCAAAAAGTACAGACAAAACCAGTGCTAAGCATCAATATTTAAAATAAAAAATAATTAAATTAAAAATAATTTAGATGCAAACAAGAACAGAAGAAAGAAAACCATCCCATTTGAGCTAAAGAAATAAAGAAGCAAAATTTACCTGTCTCTGGCTTCAAAATCCAAGTTGTTTTCCCCAAACGAAGCCTCGACCCCCAAATCGTTACCATACTCTGCTCCACTTCCGAAATTACCAAAACACCCCTCCTCCCCTTCCTTCTCTTTCCTCTCAACGGGTCCAGCCCAGTCCAACTCCACCGACGAGCCCACGCTCAGCCTGGATTTGGGCCTCGATTCCACCGGCCGCCGTCGGCTTTCCCCGCAGCAGCCTCCTCTGGGCTTCTCCGAGGGCTCATTAATTCCGCCGCTCTGGCTCTGCTTCTTGACGGCGTCGTTTCGCAACGGGGGCTTCTCTAGACGGCGGCTCCTCAGCTGGAGGTAGTACAGGGAGGAGCTATCTGAGTCCGATTCTCCGGCGGGGGATTGATCTTGATTCTCTTGCTTCTGCTGCTGCTGCTGCTGGAGCTTTTGGAGGGCTAGGGTTTTGGCTCTGGTCCGAACGCCGAGAGAGGACTGCGGCGAAATGGAGACCTCCATCACGGCTACGTCGCCGGAAATTTTCGATTTCTTCATGTATTTCCCCATAACTCAGGCCCTTCCGGCCTCTCTGCGTTTTCTTCGAAGTTGGAATTTGGAGAGAGAGAGAGGTGATGACAACTGACGGAGGCGATATCTATCAGAGAGAGAGAGAGAGAGAGAGAAGGGGAGAGGGGGAGAGAGGGAAAAAGAGGGTTGGGGTGGGGGGGGGGGGTCTTTGGGGGGAGGAGAGAGGGAGAGAGAAGAAAAGTTAGGGTTGGGGGTTTAGGGAACAGTGGTACTTTATATCTCTACATTCTCGTCGTATTTTCATTATTTGCCCCTTCTCTCTTAAATTATTTCTTCCGTGGACCCTTATCTCCCTCCATTCTATTTCCTTTTCTTTTTAAGTTTCAAAAATAAATTAATTATGGGATTTATCACAAATACTTCTTAAAATTGATTCTCACACTCAAGATGGTATCTGAAATTGAAAATCAATTAATGTAGGTGTAATTTTGGTTGGGCCAACCCGAACCGCCCATGTCCAACCAGACTTTAACCCTGAACAAGCAGGGTTTTTTTTAGTTATAACCTACCAAGCCGCTCATTGATTGGGTTGAGTTGGGTTGATCATTTGCCCTGTCTGAACCCGACATATACTATGGGGAGAGGAGAACCTGGTGTGCAGAAAAACTTTATTACAGGTGATGACACACTTGAAAATAATGGGGTATGCTAAGTTTTTGTAAGTTCCTCTACAACATATGATCTTGGTTGTGGCCTTTAGCAAATATGTCGTGCTTGAACCTTTCTTTTATATTCATATCAAATGGTTATAGCATTACATTTAATTTGAGACTTCCATCAAATTGCTGAACCTGAGGAACTTTAGTTAATCAAGCCTTGAATTCTGGTAAGCGAATCACCATCTCAGACTACAAGTTGAATTAACATTATATACGGTAGCAAATGTCCAAGTTAGTACTAGCTTTGGTATTTCTTGTATTTTAATTCAAACTTTGCATGGTTGAAACATTCATATTTAGTTTAACTTTATAACGAATACAATTTGAGGAATTGAATTTTAATTTTGAAAAAGTTGGGCAACCCGAACCCAATCCAAGTAAATCCAAACCCGATTAAAACCCAACCCTGAACCCGATCTCGAATTGTAAAAGTTGGGTTAGGGTTGGGTTGACCTTCCAACCCGCCCAACCTGAGACACTTCCCAGCCGAATTGGACTTGGCCACAAGTATGAAAATTGCTTCCCTCACTGAGATATACTTGCCTGTAAAATTTGGTAATTTTTGGAAATTGTTGAACTTCCGATGAGTCGGGGCGGCCGACTGCCACCGGCGGTGGCACTTTGGTCAGTGGGCCAACGATACCTTTCTAAGTCCAATTAGATGTCCTGAATTTGTAGTTGATATTCATATGACGTGGTTTGATCGTTTGAACCTAATTTCATTATGATACATTACTTGATCAAAATATGAATCGACGATCTGACCGTCAGGATTGTGATGAAATTTTAGTATGTTGTTCTAAAGGCATAATGTGGATTTTAGAAGATTACGAATCCAAAATCCGATGTGCGGATCTTCCGGATCAAATTACATAGGCATGTGGACCCGACCGTTGATCGGAAGTTGACTTTTGGTTAATAGATATTGAATCATTTAAATTAGGGAGTTTTAACGAAAAACCCACGGTACTGTTCACTTTAACGAAAAACCACATTTTTACACTAAAAAGTCAAACATGATACTATTCACTTTACCCTTTATTTTGTCATTCTCATTAAAACTCAAAGTTTTCAAGCCATTTTCATTAGTTTTCTTTTAAATTACTAGAATTAGTATTGCTAGAGACTCAGTGAGGCTTTACGGACTTGTCCTGGTGAGTGACTCTAATTTATGTGATATTGTTATTACCCTGTTTTCTTATATTAGTATCCTTTTTGGATAGCACTTGGTTTTATAAATGTGTTTTTCTGTTAAAATGTGATTTTATAATTGGCCATCGATCTATTTTTATTAAATGTGATTTGATTCATGGATTGAAAATATTGTGAAAAGGTGATTTGAAGTGCATATTGAAATGTTTATGAATTATGTTATAAATATACATTTGAAATGTTGAGAACTACGAGGATTAGTAAGGTACCGTTACCCTAGAGTCACAGGGTTAGGTGGCACTGAGTCTGCACCATGTAGCAATGGTACATGGATGGTCCTGCTTGGTTAATTCGAGATGGGGGACCATCTTATTTATGGATCGCGCTTGGTTAATCCGTGATGGGTGATCCTTATGGTCATGTATACTTAGGACTGATCATGCTTGGTTAATCTGAGATGGGTGATCACTACCTAACAGTTCTGAATGTGTGACTTTGCTTGGTTAATCTGTAATGGGGGGTCACTACCTATTTGGTTATCTTGACCATGCTCGGTTAATCCGCGATGGGGGACCATATTATTTATAGATCGCGCTTAGTTAATCCATGATGGGCGATCCTTATGGCCATACATACTTAGGGGTGATCATGCTTGGTTAATTTGTGATGTGTGATCATGGGGGTCACTACCTACATGGTTACTCAGGGGTGGCTCTGCTTGGTTAATCCGCGATAGGGGGCCACTTCCTGTTTGGTTACTTATGTAGGCTTCAGCCAAACTGCGTCCCTCTAGCCCTAGTTTTTAATGTACATATGAACGATGGTTTTTGAGAATCTTGGTGGTTTGAATGGGAAAAGCCATTGGATGTCTGGGTGACTCCTTCGGAGTTGTTAGAGACTTGACTATGCTTTCATATGTACGAACTTATATTTGAGGTTTATAAACTGTGATCGATGGTCTTTCTTTTTATTGATTATCACATACTTGTATTATTGTCACTCACCCAAGCTCCGTAGCTTATCCGAGTTCCATTTGGTCGGTGCACCATTCTCATGATGTAGGCATTGATTTTACATATGACAGTCTGGATAGATTATGAGAAACCACTTGATATTTTGGTTCCGTTAAGTGGTCCGGAACCCAACGTTGTTGGATTCCGTTAAGTGGTTCAGAATCCTTACTCTCGCTCATTCCCATAAGGTTAGTCTAGAACCGTAGATTCAAGTGAATGAGAATTACCCACAATAGACCTTGTGAAAATAAAATAGATTTACTATATTATTGGTCATAATCCAAGTAGAAAATTATATAAAGTTCCTTGGTTAAATTCGTGAAATGATATGTTATCGCATTGTTTGATTAACATTATTAAATGCTAATATCTTGTATCTTTGATTCATGAATTGATTGATTGACGGGATTGTGGAATGACCTTGGTTATGGTTGTTATTATTATGATTATTTTAGTTGATCAATGTGGCTTGAGAATAATATGTGCTTCGTTGGTTATTTGATATGTTATATGCTGTGGATGGAAGTATTGTGCTGAAAACATGGAATTTATATGATGGATGGAATGAGAATCTTGAATGACATGTTGGTTTGTTTTGTAGCCTGAACTTGGTAATTTCATGCATGTCAAGTTCTAATAATTGATTTCAGAATGCTATGTATTCCTGTTAGAATGCACCAGAATAAATGTCTAAATTAGTGAACGACAAATTACGAATGACTTGATCCCTAATAAGGGTATCGTAGGCAGTCTAACGAGGATGTTAGATGCGGCCATAAAGTATACGAAAAATTACTATGCGATTCGATTCTCGAGTTGTGATTTGCCACATCCCGGAGGCGGGATATGTTGAGATACTGGTATTTGGTGACGTCACGTGTCGATTCTAGACGTATGTCAAGATTGGAGCATGACACAACCCGCCCGAGTTGCACCTCTAATGAACATAGGTGTCGCAAATCAATACGGTCATTGCGTCACAATTATGTTAAAATTTCGTTAAGTGCTAATATGGCACATAAATGAGCCTCACAAGATTTATGAGTTTTTATCACAAATAGTTCATGAACTTGACCCATATCATCAAGATGGTCCCTGAACTTGACCCACATTATCAAGATGGTCCTTAAAATCAAGGTTCTAAGAAACGCTAGGCGTAAGTCAAGTGGCGGGCTGGGGCTTAGTGCCTAGGCGGACTAGGCGAATTTAAGTAAATCTATTATATTTCGTGTACATAAGTGTCTGTTTATACTTAAAAATATATATATATATATATATATATATATATAATTTCATCATAAACTACAAAATAGAATGACATATGTATTATGAAGTATTGGAACATAATGAAAACATGGGGAAAAAAAATATAATGTACGTTCATTTAAGTATTCAATAAGTTTCTTACAATTTATTAAAAAAATAAAATGCAAAATGAAAGTTATCTATTTTCTATCTAAGTGAGTCACAACCTAGACGGGAGCCTAAGTGGGTCTTGGCGGGCTAGGCAAGCGCCTCATCAGGTCTAGGCACCATTTCTTAATTTTTAAACGCTTAGGCGAGGATTTTTATAACAGTGCCTAAAAATAAAAATTGATGAATGTAGTCCTTGGAAATATGTGTCGCAAATCAATATGATCATTCCACTACAATTTTGTAAAAAAAATTTGTTATGGCCTAATGTGGGTTTAATAATTAATTTAAAAAGTTGTTTAAATACCTTTTTGCACAATGGAATTTCTTTTCTTATAGTAGGGCCTACTCTGAAAAAAGATCCCTTTCATAAATTCTCAAATGCACAAGGTTTAACCAAGGTCTAAGAAGGGGTTTGGAAATAGTTTTTAACCAACAATAGATGCACCTCGGTTATAACCTCATTATCTCAAGGCAATTCTCGCCATTCTTTGAGTCACCATACCACCAGGGAAGTGTCCAACTAGCTCTCTAAGATAAGATTGTGAGGATGTTGATTGCCTAAATGTTAACGGTGATGTCCCAAAAATTTCTATCCAGGTTCAATTCAATGAAGTGTATCGAAGTGTGTAAAGATTAGTGTATTGAGATCTTTTTTTTATTTTTTTTATTTAGAGAATAGGAGGAAATGATGTAGATGAATGTGGACTGGGATTAGAGGTGATTGCAGGACTGGGTTTTTGGGTTGACAACTTTTTATTAACAATTAAATTATTGAACCTATTTGTAATTTTTTTAATTTAATTAGACTTGTGTGACCCATTTATGTGTCACATCAATACATAACAGAATTTTTGACATAATTGTGACGGAAG